CCTTTCTCCGCCATGTTTTCCTTCCATCCAGTGGGCTCAGTTTCCACCATAGGTTTCTCGTCAAAATTGATGCTCGCACTTAAAAAACCAGTTTGACGACAGTAAACCGGAATGACTAGCCCAAGAGTTGGGGCTACGGCGACTTCAAAGGCTAAAGCAGATGTGTGCAGAGCCTCCTTTTCCGTCTCCTATCCGCTCAAAAAAGCGATAAAAGAGGCTCTGCTCGCAGGGTGACGAAAAGCGTGATGCCGTATTATTTCACACGGCGCGCACGTGTCGGAAATGGTCCAGGAGCTTCTAGAAGCTTCTAGAAGCTTCCCGAAATACACTTGCTGAATTCGTTACTTCCAAAATTGCTGACGGAACAGATCTTTTTATAGTAAAACCTGTTCACGCTGTATATTGTGGTCGGCAGCCATGCGACTCTCTAGGAAAGACTTCTCCAACGCTTTGATTTGCGTTTTCCAACTTAGCCTAGAAGGTAAGAGATTATTCTTTTCCGAACAAACTGATCGGCTAGGTTTTACCGACAAACGCTGTGGGTTCCAAGTCTTATTTGACTTCAGTATCGTGTTTGGTAAACAAACGGTAACTTAAGTCTGTTTTACTTATCGATAAACCACCACGTTTATGTAGAAATGCATCGAGCTTTATTAATGAAGCAGTTTGATTTCTTGGCCTTTAAGAGAAACGCCGGGTGAACAAGAATTTACGCGTAAGTCATTCGCGTTTATCATCAGACCGAAAGTCACAAAGATGGCCATCGGAATAATGAAGATTCACTGAATCCCGGAATGTTAGTTATGAAAGTAGATCGTGGACAAAATGTTCGATTCGCCGTTTCGTTGTGGTGTTTCATCGTTTCCGCACACCGATACTTCTAGTCGAGTCGCTTTTTTCCGAGTTGGACTCGTCGAATTGCCAGTTCGACTCGCCGTTTTAAGAAGTCGACTCATCGCTTCGTGAGTTCGTCTCGTCATCTTGTCAGTTCGATTCGTCGNATTGTCAGGATGCATGCCCAGTCACTGCTGTATCTTTTAATTAGAATTAAAATAGTTTTCCTTCCTATCAGTTGCTGTGTTAAGCGCTTCGCAAGTCTACAAGTGTACCATTGGAGACACAGCGAAGATTTTATGGCTCAGATCAGAACGGGAACACCTCAAAGAGTTCAGGCAGTATCGTGCGTGGAAGGAAGAAATTCCTTTCGCCATTATCAACAACGGGACTCAGAACGCTAGATGCTTGGATGATATTTTGAAAACATTTTGTCTAACAAAGGTACAATTCCAAGAATGGAACGAAACCCATCTGTTATTGACAATAAAAAACACCAATTATGACGACAGTGGAGATTATAGTGTGGAGCATGTGTTTAAAGGACTGGAAGACAATCATAAAGACACAGTGTCTTTGAAAATACAAGGTTAGTGAGCGAAATACAGAATCATTATTCAACCATGAAATATATTACGAAATAACTTATAGAGTGTCGTAAAACCAAAGCCAAACCAATTACTTACCAATTAGACAATTCAGCCATTCTCAAACCGTAGGAAAACCAAAATAACATTATTGCCTGGTTACTTTCGACACTCAATATTGAAAACCGCTCTTGTGTTAATAAAAGGGAGCTTAAGCAACGACAACGGCGACGCCGAGGACGACGCCGAGTCAAAAATGAATTTACATTTTACCAACGAAATTCGCACCTGTCTAGATCTGTTCAGTACGCCAATGGCTCTAAAAATACACTGGCTGAATATGCAATGACAGCGTTCAATTCTAAATTGAAATAAGAGAAATTATCCGTTGTCGTTCGCGTTCCTCAGGCTACATTTAATTCTAAAATTGCAAAGCGAATTCCTAAAATTTCTAACCAACATTAGAGCAATTTTGTTGTTATTTTTCTTTGTGTTATCTTTAGCAAAACCTACGGACATCATTTCCAGTCATCGTAATTCAACCAAAGATAACAGAACTATTGGTAAGGATTCTGTCAGCCTTATGGTTGTATTGATGTTCTTTGCTTGGGTCAGAGATTTTTGGATTTGCGTCATTTCCTATTGTTACAATCAAGACCGCCTATTGAGCAATAGAAAACTCTTTAAGTTAATTTATTCCCAAGAAATATATGTCAAAGTCTTATTTTCCCGTTAAAAATATCAATTGTTTTCAAACAGACAACTCACCTCAGTCTATGGGTTTTGTTGTTTTAAATTTCTTATCAGGAAGATCTAACTCAGCCCTGGATGTATGTTTCATATATTACCATATATTAACACATCAGAGTTCATGTAAAACCTCGTCGCACTTATTTTCGAGAGCTATTAAAATCTAGTTTCTCCTCACAATACAATAGTACGAGGACTGCTGACGACAATTATCATACAGTTTTTGGATAGTGGTTAGTTTACGATAATGTATTACCAAANTCAATTGTTTTCAAACAGACAACTCACCTCAGTCTATGGGTTTTGTTGTTTTAAATTTCTTATCAGGAAGTATCTAACTCAGCCCTGGATGCATGTTTTATATATTACCATATATTAACACATCAGAGTTCATGTAAAACCTCGTCGCAGTTATTTTCGAGAGCTATTAAAATCTAGTTTCTCCTCACAATACACTAGTAAGAGGACTGCTGACGACAATTATCATACAGTTTTTGGATAATGGTTAGTTTACGATAATGTATTACCAAATCAGTCTCGGACCCGAAATTGTTCATAAAAAGTAGTCTGCCGTAATCGTTATCGCTTATGAGCTGACGTTTTGTGTGTATTTCATTTTTTTTCCAGATCATTCCTCGACGACCGCTGGGCCTGCAGCAATTTCTTCTGGACGACGTGTTTCATTAACCCGTTCGGTGCTGCTAATAGCTCTTCTTCTTCTCTCTCTATTGTAGCTATCAAACTGAATCACTTCAAGGGGTAGCTGAACTCAAATATATGCTATTAGATTTTAACGGAAAATTTTTTTTACGATCATGACTGTTCTTGATAGAAAACAAATTGCTTCCCACGTTAGCTTAAGGCTCAATGAATAAATTTACTACCCTGATAACAGTCATGATCGACCATGCGTGGGTTGAGAAGGTAATTTAAACATATGTATTGTTAATCCATGATGTTCTCCGAACGTGTTTGCTATGGTGAGAATGTGTTTTGTATTTGTAGTAATTCTGGTCTCCATCCCAACTGAGTTAGTGTCCTCTTTTTTCACTGACGTCTGCTTCGCAAACTCGCTACGACGGGCGACTAATTTTAATATACTCAGCTTTTTGTTTATATGTATATTTCACAGATTTCCCTTTATTTGTCTAAATAATCCAAGCATAATAGTGTCTTAAAGATGGCATCCATGCAGTAAACAAAGCCAATCCAACCGGACAAACAGTACAGGAGAGTAGAAACCTGAGGCGAGTAGCTCTGACAATAAGGAAGTCACTGATCATTAGACAGCTAAACAGTACGTAGATGGACAAGTGAGGGAGCAAACGGGTGCTAAGTATATGGCGTACCCGCTATGTTACCATTTACACTTCTCGCGAGTATAAATCTGAGGCTATATTCACATTTGTAAAATAACATTGAAGGTGTACTGTACCAAAGCTAGAAATGACGACATCACACCATCTTCACGACACTAAGGCTTGGATTGATAATGATAAAAATAATATATTTTTGTCATATATTTATAATGTAAGTTGTCTGTCTGAGTATCGGGTCTATGACTTTCACGGACCATCCTTATGGCATTTCTGTTTTTGTTAATTTGTTTTCATTAAATTTTAATAAATAAATATATAATTTAATAAATAGATATATTTTGTTTGCTTGTGTTGTACAGTTTAAAATTAATTAGTAATGGTAATTGAACTGGTGGAGTGCAATTTGGTCTGAAATCACAAGTATGATTTCAGACCAAAATTGCACTCCACGAAGTTCAATTGCGACTTTATTAGATCCATTTTGAAATCGCACAATTTTATCAGCCTCGAGGAGCTTATTATCGTCATTCAAAAACTGTAATTAATGAAATTCGTCAATTGTTTGGTCTTTTTTTAACAATCAAACAAACAAAGAAACAAACAAAGTTTTGACAATAAAAGTTGCAAAATTCGCCACACGTTTTTTTTCTTTCATTTTCCTGAAATTTTATTGGTAACTTTAACTAACCTTGAAATCTGATTAGTTATGTTTTACTGTTCCATTCTCATTGGCTGAGGAAAAAAAAAAAAAAAAAAAAAAAAAAAAAAAAAAAAAAAAAAAAAAAAAAAAAAAACAAAAAAAAAAAAA